ATCCTTTTAGCATGTAGCTGCTTTTTAAAATCCTCAGTGCTTTGAATGCTCATCAGCTTGTTTCTTTAGTCAATGTATTTCATAGGCAAGCAATAAATCTAAATTCATGTTCTTTACAAGAAATATGCTGCAAGTATTTGAAAGATCTCTTACTTCAGACATCTGGAAATATTTGCTCTGCAGGCAACTTTCTAATGTGGTTACTATATGAGTGCATTAGACTAAATTAAGGAGGTTTTTTCCCCTTGGAACTGATCATTATGGGATACGATTTTGGGGCAGTGGGATGGTAATATTAAGTAATATTCAGTGTATCATTAGGTTTAGCCAAACATCTCTACAATTTACACTTCAGATATAATTACATTTCTGAAATTTGTAAGTCTTTACACTGCTTCTTGTATTCTTAACAATTTTAGGCTTTTGTTTGCAGACATACAGAAAATCAGTTCAATTCATTTCAGTTATACTTTGTTCCTAAAAGTACATGGCAAATTCACAAATACAATTTACATTTACAAAACAGAACCAGCTAGCTCTAAATGCTAAATAAAATAATTCCAAAAACTCAGGTTTTAAATTGACTTTTATGTGCCCTTGAGTCATTATTGCCTCCTGGCAACTGCCTGGACAAATTCCTGCATGCCAAGATTTAGGAAGAGCGTTGCCTCCTTCCTAGGAAGGAGAGAAACTGACTGGGCCAAGGTCACCCAGCTGGCTATGTGCCTAATGCAAGATCAGAACCGTGTTCTCCCAGTTTCTAGCCCAGTGCTTTTAACCACTACACCAAATTTGCTCTCAGACTTCTTAATTATTAAATTGATTTGAAAACTGATAAAATACAATTGTCCTTTTGGTATATACTTACCATAGATAATTTTAGCACTTTGCATTCTGTTGATGTGAACAAGCTAGTCAACTTTTGTTCCTTGAGATTTATAATCTTATTCTTTTTTTGTTTGCTTGTCTGCATGCTTGCAAATGAAGTTTTCACTTTAAATAAGTAAGTCACTGTTTGCTTTTCCTCTAATTAACACTTTGTAACTCTACTTTGCAAAACAAACCTCAGTATAACTTTTGCTGTTATGTGTGGTATATGTATATTATTTGATAGTATCATGATTTAATAAATCATGCAAAATAGTGTCTTCCTTGTTTTATTTGCTTATCTACAGTGCTTTCTAACTGGGTTTGAGATTACAATATTCAGTTACATTTTGCTTCTTTTTTAGTTAATTTAATAAATGGTTTGATATTCATAATCACTATTTTACCACCTGCAGTGCTTTGTTCGGCTTATTCAGTTGAGCCTGGGAACACCTAAGTTTGAAAAGAAAAAGGAATAAAAAGGTTCACATTTATACATTTCACAGATAGAGTAGGATCAGAATATTCTCTTAACATCCTTAATATTTCAGAGATGTTTTAGATCAAAATAGATGTTTTAACCTATCCAGAGTCCTGAAGATATAATGATGATGATGATGATGATGATGATGATGATGATGATGATGATAAAGTTGGAAGGAACCTTGGAGGTTATCTAATCCAACCCCCTGCTCAGGCAGGAAACCCTATACCATTTCAGACAAAAGGCTGTCCAGTCTCTTCTTAAAAAATTTCCGGTGTTGGAGCATTCACAGCTTCTGGAGGTTGTTCCACTGATTAATTGTTCTAACTGTCAGGAAATTTCTCCTTAGTTCTAGGTTGCTTCTCTCTTTGGTTAGTTTCCATCCGTTGCTTCTTGTCCTGCCTTCAGGCATTTTGGAGAATAACTTGACTCCCTCTTCTTTGTGGCAGCCCCTGAGCTATTGGAACACTGCTATCATGTCACCTCTAGTCCTTCTCATCATTAAACTAGACATACGCAATTCCAGCAACTGTTCCTTATATGTTTTAGCCTCCAGTCCCCTAGTCATCTTTGTTGCTTTTTTCTGTACTCTTTCTAGAGTCTCAACATCTTTTTTACATTGTGGTGACCAAAACCAGATGCAGTATTCCAAGTGTGGTCTTACCAAGGCATTGTAAAGTGGTATTAACACTTCACGTGATCCTGATTCTATCCCTCTGTTAATGTAGACTAGCACTGTGTTGGCTTTTTGGGCAGCTGCAACACACTTCTGGCTCATATTTAAGTGATTCTCCACTAGGACCCCGAGATCCCTCTCACAGTTACTACTATTGAGCAAGGTACCACCTATAGTATATCTGTGCATTTGGTTTTTCTTGCCTAAATGTAGAAACTTACTTTTTCACCACTGAATTTCAATGTTCAAGTCTGTCAAGATCTTTCTGTAACTTAAGCCTATTTTCTGGAGTGTTGGCTATTCCTGCCAGGTTGGTGTCATCTGCAAATTTAACGAGTTCCCCATCTATCCCCTCATCCAAATCATTGATGAAGATGTTGAAGAGCACTGGGTCCAGAACAGAGCCCTGGAGCACTCCACTGCACACTTCCCTCCATGTAGATTCAGTTCCATTGAGCCAGCTATGAATCCATCTGGTGATGATACTGTCTAACCCACATTTTTCTATCTTATCAAGTAGTAGTGTCATGGTTCCGATAGATGAAACCCATTAAAGAACTTCAAGGCAAGAACATTTTATTCAGGAAACAAAGTATCGATACTACATAGTTGAATCCAAAACTAGATTCCCTTCCCCGAGATACAAAGTAACAAATTGTAAGTCCCACCCCCACAAAGCAGTCATAAATCACATTCTCCAATTAGCCAGGAGCACAGGCTCTCTCCCTAGCTCCTCAGCCCACCAAAACGTTATTGGTTTGTATCCTTGAGTTCCCACGGAGCTGCATTGTTATTATGGCTAGCTGAACTCAAATATTCACCCCCCCCTTCAACATCTACTTTCTAAACAGAAGAAAAAGCATGTTAAAAGCAAAGTAAAAATGGCTGCAATTTCTATCAGTTGTCAAAGCAGGAACATCCAATGTTACAGCATTGACAAGTAGGTTGTGGTCTACTTTATCAAATGTCTTACTGAAGTCCAAGTAAATTATACCCACAGCATTCCTCTGGTCCACTATTTTTGTCACTTTGTCGAAGAATGTAATAAGATTTGTTGATCTGTTTTTGACAAACCCGTGTTAGCTTTTAGTAACGACTTTGTTTGTCTCTAGGTGTTCGCTGATTCATTGTTTGATTATCTTTTCCAGAATCTTCCCAGGTATTGAGGTCAGGCTGATAGGTCTGTAGTTTCCTGGATCCATTGTTTTTCCCTTTTTTGAAGATGGGAACTACATCAGCTCTTTTCCAGTCCTCTGGTAGTTCCCCAGTGCTCCAGGATCTTTGAAAAATATAGTTCAGTGGTTCTAAGATCAAATCTGCCAGTTCCTTCAGAACCTTGGGGTGTAATCCATCTGGTCCTGTTGATTTGAACTCATCTAGGGTGGATAGGTGCTGACTTACCATTTTCTTGCCTATCTTAACTTATGTTTCTAATCTGTTTTTTACGATACTGTTTTTGATAGGTTGGGCTGTTTTGGGGCTGTGTAAATACGGATGCAAAAAACAAGTTGAGTAGTTCTGCTTTCTCCCTATTGCTTGTCACCTTCTTGCCATTTTTCCCCAATAATGGACCAATCATTTCCTTAACTTTTGTCTTCTTTTTTACATGTTGAAAGAAGCTTTTTTTTGTTATTTTTGACTTTTGTTGCAAGCCTTAGTTCATTTTGAGCCTTAGCAGGCTCCGACTATTTGTTGATATTCTGCCTTAGTTTTGTGCCCCTCTTTCCACTTTTTATACTTGTCCTTTTTGTCCTTCAATTTATCAGTTCTTTATGCAGCCATGCTCTCTTTTGAGAGCTGTTATTTTTCTTCTTCATTGGTATTGTGCTTGACTGGGCTTTTATAATCTCACTTTTCAGATAATCATCTAACTAAAGATAATCATCTTTGGATAGCAAAGAAATTCCCATAGATTGATCATAAATAAAGCTGAGCAAAGCAGATTTTACAGAAGGTATTCATTAACCACTCATAACTATCAGTGCAGTTAATTAAGAAATTATTAGCTCAGCCCTGAGTATAGCTCAGACAGCTATACTCAGGGTTGCAGAGCTCTTGGAAAGCTCATGGTAAAGTCTTGCTAAATTGGATGTGATATTGAAATAGATAATTAGTTGTCAGTTCCTTATTTGCATGAAACTTTGAAGTAGAGATTGGTATATGGAGCTATCATTCATACAATGCATCTAATATAAAACACAGAACTATCCTTTGTCATAAATTGATTTTATTTATTTTTTAGAAAGTCTGTCTAATTCTAAGACCACTCTGGGCCAGAAAGCCCACAAGGCACAAATAGGACAAAAAAGCAAAATGAGTCATACAGGAGTATCTGGTAGCCAAAGGTAACTGAATTCTGCCTCCCAAACCCAGGCGGAAACTCTTATCCTACAGATCAGCCACCTCCTCTAATGCTTGGCCTTCCAGCTCCTCATCTGGTTCCTATCTGTGGTGCTTTGACTTGAGATGAAAGGACTGCTGGGGGAAAAAAAATGCCGAGCTCCATAAGCAACAATGGCCTCGTTGATCCGAACAAATTTAGTAATAGCCCGTGCAGCAGGAGAAGCCCTTCTGCACCGCAAGGATGCGGGGAAAGAGGACGAGAGAGGGCGAAGGGTCTTAACCTCGGGGGCGAGGGCTCCTTTCGTCCTAGCTGGAGGGGACGAAGAGCCGGAGGTTATTGGAGAGAACAAGGGAGCCTTTAGTTTCCTTTCCCTCTGCTTTTGCTTAGCCAGCCAGCTGCGGCAGGAGGAGCTGAAGGCGCTGGTAGCGCCCCGTTCCCTTTCTAACCCCGAGGGCACCCTGAGCTGAAATCTCTCTCTCTCTCTGTGTGTGTTTGTGTGTGTGCGTGCGTATGTACAATTTCATATCCAGGGGTGTACATGAATGTGCAGAAACAGGACCGACTGGTTTCACACGCTTCTCCGCTTGGGAGAGCGAGAGGCTCTTTCTTCATCCGCATCAACCACAACAGCCTCCTGCACACCAGCGAGGGCGGGAAGGAGGAGACAGTCCTCCTCCTCCCCCCCCCCGCTTCCCCGGAGAAACAGCGGGCACTGAGGGCAAGCCTAAAAGAGGCCGCCAGCGGGATCCAGAGGGAGGGAAGAATCGCCGCCGCTAGCCACGCAAAGCCGCGGGTAAGAAGAAGGAAATGGTCCGGCAAAGCGACTTGGCGTGGCTGGAGAAGGGAAGCCCTTACGGGGAGGGGGGAGGGGAGCGCGTGAAAGGGTCCAAGGCTTGACGGGGGCCGCGTTTTTTGTTTTTTTCCTAGCCTTCCCTCCGCTTCTCCAAGGCTGCATCTGCTTTCTCCTCAGGCGAAGGTGGGGGGGGGGAGGGAGACGGAGGGACAGGACATAAAGCGCGCGCCTCTCTTAAGGTGCCGGGGCGGGGAACAACGGGGGAGGGGCTGAGGGAAACCCAAAGAAGATGCTGAATGACCGACCGATGGAGGGTAGGATCCAGTTGAGGACTCTGGTTTCCCTTTTGGAGCGAAAAGGGGAGAGAGCGAAGAGGGGCGCCCGGTGTTTTTGGCGTCTTCACCGTGAGAGGCGTAGCCGCCTCTTTTCTCTTACCAGCGCCGCCGTCATCACCACCACCACCCCCTCCCCACCATAGTCTTCGGTGATTTGGAGATGTGTGCGCGTGTATGTGTGGAAGAGGCAGCCTCTGGCCGTTTGAGGAAGGGAAACTACGCGAAGCCTGGAGCTCTGCTTGCCCTCTTTTGGCGCTCTCCTCCTGTTTCTCTCCCCGCCTTCGCTAGAAACCGCGCGCCGTGCCAGGCTCTCTATGAAGGAGAAGCGCTCGATCCTCTTCCGGAGGTTATAAATAAACGGGTCGCTTTAGTGTTCATTAATCGCTCGCTCTCAAACAGCCCTCTTAGTTTACCCTCCTTTTCCCGAGGGCTCCTCGTGCTTAGGAGCATCCTCCTTCCCCCCGCCACCGCAGTTTCCCGGCGCAAGGGGGGGGGGGGTGGAATGGAGAGCTGCCGATCGGCCAGTAGCTTCCCCGAGGCTTTCTAGGACTGGCTGGCAGCGCCTTCAAAACGTGGGTGCGATTTCTACAGACGTGTTTGGGCGTCTGTGATCATTAATCTGCACGTGTTTTGGACAATCATACACACACATACACACTTGATTGTTTTTATATTTTATACAGATGACATGGCTAGCAAAGGGGATTTGGGCAAACTGAAACGTTCAGTTAGAATTTTGCTACTGACTTTCAGATACTATCAGTGTAGACTGTCTTGTCTGTCTCTAGTGTGATGCAGAAACAAAAATAAAAAGCATGATGAATAGATTGAATATAAAGGCACAAATGCTGTACACTAAGGTAGATTTCTGAAGATGAGAAGAAAAAATATATGGCTTGTAATGTTTGGAAATGAGCTGGTTTAGCTTATTTGCTGCCAGTATAGTTGCCTTTGTCTAAGAACCATTCTAAGTGTAATAAATGAATCAGTAACGATTTTGTCCTAGCTAATTTGGGGAGGTGTTTATCTGTAATATTTTGCTGCAGTGCCTTAGCGTTTGAAGATACATGATTCCCATTTTCCTTGCTTGCCAAGGAAATGACTCAGTGACTCAATCATTAAAAATGTACAACTTAATCTAAAAATGGCATCTTAAGTAAAGCCCCTAAGGTAGAGGGCAGGAATTTATAAGAAGAAAACATAAAGTTGTTATAGTAGCTTACTCCATTGATTTTAATTGAAATTAAGAGATGAAGTAGCTGATGCAGACTTCTGCAAAGAATGGATTTGGTCTTGAAAGCCTGTTGCCAATATTTATGATTCACTTCCTTGGAATCCTTCTTTTTGTATTTGTTTCTTTTAGTAGGAATCTAAAAGTGTAATAATAGCTCTTAAACTTCATGGAAAGTAGTACATGATACAGCAAAGACAACTTGCCTTTTTTCAGAATGCTTAACTTTGGTTTTGTTTGCATTATTCAGTGGACAGATGTTAAGGCAGGAATATAATTAACTCATAAACCATCTTATTTATTGTGTCAGTGACATTTGTGCACTGTTTCATTGGGGTACAAAATCAATTGGAAAGGCAATTTTAATTGGTACTTATTTTAAAGAGAGTAATTAAAGAATCAAAAGAACCAACATGTGATTTTAGAAATCTTTGTTAAGAAGAGAAGTTTATCAACCCACTCAGGACTCCATTGACCTGCTTTTTCTTTAAAATTAATAATATCAGCATGCTATTTTGAATTTCATATTATACAACAACAATTTTCTACATGAAACTTAATTGTTCTATAGATCTATAAGGAAAGGATCTATGTTGTATTAAGTTTCTTTCCCACAGCCTCCATGTGATAAATGTGCCCTTTAAAAGTAATCATTCACAAAAACCATGTAAAATATTTCATCAAGATTATTTATTTATGTAACTTTTCCAAAGATGAATTCATACCAAAGACAAATGTAGTGGAATAAATCTAACAAACCTGCTAATTGATGCATTCCAAAGTACTGCTGTTCTATTGAAAAATTTTATATGAAATTGCTTTTAATATAACTGGAAAATTATGTCAGAAATAACATTTATATATTCAAAATATCAGTTACTTCTGTCATGTTATGAGCAGCCTAGTAGCAAAGCATGGTACCTGGAACAGAATATTTTGGAATCTTGAACATTTTATTATTGCCAAAGTATTTACAGGTTCTTAATTATTGTATCATATGGAAGTTTTCCTAGAACTATGGGTATACAATTCAAATTCCTAGATACTCAAATAAAACAATGTATAAATTTTCACGAATCTTCAAATTTTGTATCCTTTCAAGTTTGAAAGGAGGCATACAGGTAGTTTTCATTTAGCAACTGACTCATTTAGCGAATGCTGCTGATATGATGATTAAAAAAAGTAACTGACCAGTCCTTGGATTTATGACCATGGCAAGTCTGTAAAGCAAAGGAAAGCTGAAGTAAAGTAGTAAAATCATGATGTTTCACTTAGTGGACACCTGTGAGGCACAAGCAACCAGAACCTCTCATGAATAATCTCAAAGCAGAATCTTTGGGAAAAATAAACCTTTGGTCCTAGTGACTGACTCAGTTTGGACCCTGTGACATAATCCTGGGATATGTACATTTACTGTACCTTCATTTGCAGTCAGATAAGACTTCAGAATTCTGGGGGAAGTCAGGGCTGTGCTGAACTCTGCAGTATAAGGACTTCTCCTCTTAATACCTTCCTCCTGACTAGTTGGAGATTCCATCACATCACTTCACTCAATGACTGAATTGCTGGCCTCAGTTGTTAAGTGAGGTTTAGTACCTGTACTCTTCTCATTTCTTTCACCAAGAGTCATTTTTCAGGGGGAAATCTATGTACTGTGATCACATAAGAACTGAGAAGTGAATGCAACATTTAGATATACTTTGTAGCTTCAATGATGTAAAAACACTTCAGACTTATTCATTATAACAACTGCAGTTATATCTTTTTCTGATGGCATATTCTAAAAAATCTGTGTGAAATGATGCCAGTTAATTGACACTTAATTGATCCCAACATTTTAAAAAGAAATCAAACTATTTGAAACAGCTGTTTGTAGAGATTTCAGAAGAATAGTAAGGAAACCTGAAGCTATACACTGCAAAAAAAGAAATGCAAAGGTTTTTTTTAAAAAAAAAAACAAATAATTTAGGGCTTGGAGTTTTGTTTTTTGTTTTAGATAACTGAAACCCTTAAAAAGAGCTTAAAACATTTTCTGAATAAGAAGACCACACTGATATTTTATTTTGGCCCTATGAATACGTAATTTTTCCCCACTGCCCTAAGCAAAAATAAAAAATAACTTTAAAAAAATTGTTTTAGACTTTAGAGAACATTGAAATGTACTGTAATTTCAATATTTTTGGAAAGAAACAGAGGTATGATAATTTGTAAAAACGGTTTTTTGTCACCATTGCTTTTTACTAATTTTTATAAATCTCATGAAACATTAACATACCAAAAATTTATTATGTACTCAGAAAATATTAATATTCTTGAGTTATTTTTAAGTCTGTAGAAATCTCTCTCATCTCTCTGCATATTTCTCTGCATGTATATAGACAGGAAAAGAAAATCTGTAGCCCTCCAGGTGTTGCTAAACTACAATTTCTGCATTCTTAGCCTGGTCAATGGCAAAAGATGCTAGCACCTATAGGTCAGTAAGATTTGAACACTTATATATCTAATTGTCCATTAACCGATTTCCAGTCCAGCAAACTTGTGAATATTTCTGTGAAAAAAAATGGTCAACAATTATCAAGGCTACTGAATTTGTTTAAAAGATGAGTATAGTGTCACTAGAATGTGATTCTATACATGAATGTTGAAACCTGATTTAACCCTTGTGCTGTTTTAGAAAAATAATACACATGTCATGCTATTGTTATCTTAATTTCCAGTGCAATACTTAACAGAAATAAGCTGAGTAATAATTATGTTGCTAGTCAGCACTTACATGAGAAAACTATGAAACAGTGTAACATCATGTATATTAAAATTTCCTTTGTTTTATCTCATTTTTTATTTCACCCTTCTCTTCAGCCCATACTAGAAGTTCTTCCTTTAAACTTGAGATATATTACCTGTGGCCACATGTGGCTTTCCAGATCCGTTCCATCCAAAATTGCTGCTGAATTGGAATTGCATGCATAGGGACATGGACTTCACAGGTTATATAGTTTAGCCCAGTGATGGCGAACCTTTTAGAGACCGAGTGCCCAAACTGCAACCCAAAACCCACTTATTTATCGCAAAGTGTCAGGGCTGCATCAGCATTGTGGTGCCTTCAGGGGGGACGTGGGGCGTGGCCCACAGGGTGGCTGCAGTGGTCATGGCAGACTGGGTGAGCGTGGCCGGGGCCAGTCCCTCACCATCTCCGGGGTATCCCCGGGGGACCAACCGCGCTTGCTCACTCACTTCCTGCCTTGTCACTTCCAAACGCCACTCTGGTGAACTCTTCTGGGACAACAGCATGCGTGCTCACAGAGAGGGCTCTGAGTGCCGTCTCTGGCATGCGTGCCATAGGTTTGCCACCACTGGCTTAGCCTATGGAACAGTTCATAGTTGTATAAAATGGTAGTCCTTTAGAGCTGAAGAAGACATGCTGTTTTGCAGTT